TCAATTCACATTCAAAGAAAAAAGGCTTTTGCAAGTGTCCATTCCAATCAAGCACAAAATAAATAAAATGCATTTCCGTGCATTTTGGATACTGACACAATCAGAGGTTTGACTGCTGCTGACCATCATCACTTTCATACGTCCTGAACATATCTATTATGATTCGCAACTCTTGTGTTGGTTAATGTGTTTGTATTTAGTGTTATTGTCTCATAATGTTAATTGAGTTTTGGAGAAATTAGGCCTTTTATTAGTCCTGTTGTGTGCATTTGATCTCATTTCTTATCTTTAGTCTTTAGCACTGGTTAAATGGATCCTCTGTGATACTATTCAGTTTCTCTGGTTCCCATTCTTCAATCTTTGCTTAAATCTTTCCAAATATTCTACCCAAGCTGCTCTATAATCTGTCTATTGCATTCACCTGGTTTCCATAGTTTAATGCTTCTCATCACATCTCATTTAAAGTATTCAAATATCTTATCCTTTTATTATGCTTCATAGGATTTTACTGTTAATGTCCCCCTGACTCATGTGCTTTTTCCCTCTGCTATATTTTTCTTTCAGTTATATATTAAAAAGAAAAAAAAGCACAAATCTGCATCTATAGCCCAAAGGACATTTTGTTTTACAACTTATTAATGGAAACTTTGATGTGTAATAGTAAACCATAATACTGCACTTATGATACTGTATGAAGGAAATGTTTAGTATCACTTCCACCTCTTCTTGATGGCAACAACGAGTTTGTTACTGCTGGTCTGAAGTCAGTTTTATTGCAAATCTTCTTATAATTTCTTTGCCACAGACACCAAAACCACCGTCAAACTAAAATACAACATAAACTTAAGTGAGATGGTGTCATGAGTACAAAACAACATAAAAAATAATATAAAAACATATAAACATACCTCGCTGGCTGACCCTTCCTTTTGAGGTAGAAATGAGAAATAAAGGACTTCTTAAACTTAAATTTAGTTTTGTACAACTTCTTGCAAATGTCATGCCTTCAGACTGTATTCATCTTTTCTTCTGGTTTTCCAGTGAACATGCTAGATTCCACTTCCTACATAAGCCTTGCAAAATAAGAGTCTTAATAACAAAAAATTTGCATAATAGAAAATAAAACATGTAAACTAAAAACATGGCAGTAAAACTCCCACCAAATCACTAACCTATAGTGATTTAACTTCAACATGTAACATTACAATAGAAATATATTTACATTTTAACATTTACTGTGCTTCCAGTAACAACACAGTTTAATGAACTGGTCTATCAAGATACACTGGCTTGACAGTCCTTTGTCCATTCTTATCCAAGGTCGAATCACCTAACAACAGCTTCACCTTTCTGATCCTTCCAGCTGCGCTTGGATATACATCTGTTACTCTTGCAAGTTTCCACTTGGTCCTTGGCGAATTGTTCTCTTGAAGAATAACAATGTCGTTTACCTTTGCATTTCTTTTGTCTCTTTGCCAGATTTGTCTCTGCTGAAGATTAAGACGATATTCTTTCTTCCACCTTGTCCAGAATTCATTGGCTAAAAACTGAACTTGGCGCCACCTCTTTCTCAAGTACAAGTCCTGGCTCACAAATTCACCAGGAGGGGGCAGAATAACACCAGACTTCATCATCAGAATATGATTTGGTGTAAGAGGCTCTAAACTTGGATCACTTAGGTTTTCTACTGTTAGCGGCCTTCTATTCACAATAGCCATCACCTCATAGTTGTGACATCACAGCAGCTTCTTGTTCTGCAGTTATGTGTCTGTCTTCTTCTTCTACGGTTTGGATTTTTTCTCTGAATTTCTCTTGTTCAGTCATTATCTTAAGCACAGCCTTTGTGGCTTCATACTCAGCTGCAGCTTCTTGTCTTTTGTTGGAGGAGCCATTAGAGACAGCTGTAAAGGCTTTAGACAGACTATAAACTGAGACACTAGCTGAGCTAGAAGATGTAAATACAGAACTGGCATCAGGCCAAACAATCTCCTCCTTATTTGTTCCCTCAACATGGCACTGGATGTTTGGCAAAACTTCAGTAGTCACTGATGTACATTCGTCTAACTTGGAATGCATATTATGAGGTGGTCCACCCATTGCTCTGTATTGGTCATAAATATCATTAAGAGCATCTTTGCACAATGTCCATGTGATCTTAAAGAATGTCAACAGGATCTTCTTTAATAACAGATTTTTTTAGCAACTTTAATTAATGCTTTCCATCTGTCATAAGTACTTTCAAAGTGACATTGCAACCCCTGTAGTTTTTCTTTATGGAATTCTCTTCCTTTTCCTGTTGGCATGCGAGGTCTTTCACTTCAGGTGTAAGTTTTATTGCAAATCTTCTTAAAATTTCTTTGCCACTGACAACAAAACCACCGTCAAACTAAAATACAACATAAACTTAAGTGAAATGGTGTCATGAGTACAAAACGACATAAAAAAATATATAAAAACATATAAACATACCTCGCTGGCTGACCCTTCCTTTGGAGGTAGAAATGAGAAATAAAGGACTTCTTAAACTTAAATTTATTTTTTACAACTCCTTGCAAATGTCATGCCTTCAGACTG